CTATTTAGGCAATTCATCGTCTTTCTAAATTTTAACGCGTCTTAGGGCCGTAGTGCGGTAGTGACACTTTTCCGGACATGGGTCCCTATACTCAAATGTTTTCTACTGTTGCACTGAATAACCCCTAGAAGTTTGATCCCATAGTTCTGAAACATCCTGTATATTGTATAGTGATCATGCGCGCGTCGCGCGAAAGACGGTAAGTGAAATCCTCCGTTGCGTTTCACGTTATTTACCCACTTAAAATATGTCGCGAATGATAAACACAACATCAAGAATGTCAGAACAAGCAGCAGCGAGTGTTACGTCATATATTTTAATATACGTATGTGTGTATGTAGTTATGATTAATTACATCGGGTTCTGTAGTAGTACAACATTGCAAACTTTTCGCGCAACTTTGCGACCATGCGCGTCTATTTATCAAAGCAAATCTTTTTTTGAATTATCATTTCTTCTTAAGGGGATCCTAAAGTGGGTCTGTTTGATCGATATAACTGAATTTTTCGCGCACACTAAGTTTTTAAAATTGTTCAAAAAATTGTTTAAAAAATTGTTTAAAAAATTTTAATTTTTTTATATAACTTTGGACCTCTCTTAAGACTCAACCGAACCTGACTGTACAAATTATATTAAACGGTTCGCTTTTATCGACTGAATTCTAATTAATTGGAGTTTTTTTTTTGCCGCAACCGCTTATCACCTGAAAGACTATTAATCGGATTCAAATCAAAAGATAAGATAATTAGTTCAATTTTATCTGCTTCGCGATAAATCGAATAAGCCTGCGCACTTGGGCAAATCGACGACGCGAAATTGGCGCGAATCGCGACGTGAAGTTGCCGGTGTGTGTCTTTCGAGTTTTCAAACGCGTTGTTCGATTTTGTCGTGTGTGTACGAACATCGAAAGTGCCACTTCGAACGCAGTAACGGTCGATAGTTGAGAGTTTGGTTATTTTTTGGTCATCGCACAAGTGGAACGAAGTTCGGGGAATGTCGTACAAAGTGACGAGCGAGTGTCGTATTACGTTAATTAGTGTCCGCGAGTGTAATTAGCCGTTTAGTGCTTCCAATCGACTCTTATCCGCTCGAGTGAGCATTCAGGGTAATGAAACGTCGACGGGAAAATGGCGGTGCACAACGGCCGTTGAGTAAATTTGTTCTATCATCAATTAATCTGGTATTAGTTCGAAAAAGTAAATTCATCGTGAATCCGATATTTACGTCGAGAAGATTGATTAGATACGTTCGCGCATTTTCATTTGATCAGAGAAAAACATTAAGTTTGAAATTTTGGTGAAATTTGTTTAAATAAATGCAAGAAGATTAATTAACAAGATCCAATTCATTAATCTTATACGCAAATCTTATATAAAAAAATAAACAAAGGTAAATTCAGTAAAAAATTAATTAAAAGTGCAAAAAGTATAAAATATTACACTATTTTTTTCTCTTTATTTAGAGTTTATATACTATTTCACTACACTTATTCGCATTATGCACATGTGCCCAGCATAGCCAACTGAGTGCAAGTTGTTGGCAACTTGCCGCAAATATTACTCATACGTTTTCGGCAATGTAACAAAAGGGCGTATCCTCTTTTCGGTATGTTTCTTGCCAGCAACAGTTTTCAAAATATAATAACAGCTAGTTCCCAACAACTCAAACTCGACAACAAACTTATATATTATTTTTCTCAACTTGTGAATAAAAATCATTGCTCGTATATTGCTCGCATATTGCTGATCTCACTTGTCATAAACATTGGTTGCAACAATTGATTGATAAATAAATACTCAGCATATTGATACTGAATTGACAAAAACATTTTCGTTGCGTTAAATAAAAAACAACGCAACAGCAGCAATTGGCGAGCAACTTAATCTGTACAATGATTTACTTTATATTGAGTTTTCACATTTGGCTATCTGGGCGAGATTTAATATTACGGCGACAAAAGCAAGCGAGTATTAAGTATAAAAGCCGCTTATAGAAAATTAGAGAATTTAGTGTTTTATATATAGAGTATCGCGCTTAGCTTATTAAAGATATGTTGTTATCAAAATATTAAAGCGAAATTGCTTTAATCGCAACACTATTTCGTGTTTGTGTAAGATATGTATTAGATTTACCTGAAAAGAAAAAAGAGATTGCTCTTTAGTCGATTTCTTTGCACTCGGATGGATATCATGAACGATCAATGTGACAAAAACAATCACGAAAGAATCAGGAAAAGTGATTTTTGTGTTAAAAAAAAAAATTAAAATATCAAATTGCTCTGTGATAAAATCGAAATAACAAGCTACATTACAATTAAAAAAAAAAAAACTAAACTACTTTGCGATCAAATAATAATTTGTAATAAATTTCAATAACCAGAAATTAATTTTCAAACAATTCCACATAAACGAGCGACGAAATGAAACACTGTTGCGTGGTTAATGATATTATAATATATTACTATATATAGTATTACTATAATATATTACTATAATATTATACTAGTAATATTCCGAGGGCGAAAGAAAGAGAAAACAATTGTATTAAAATTAAAACGAGAGATGATATCGTTAATAGACCGAGAGGAGAGCAAAATTCACCTTTTTAAGCTATCCCTTGTGTGTTAAAAAAGATCAACGAGATCAACGGAGAGAAAAAAAAGATCGGGTGAATCGAATTCAAATGATGAAAAAAAATTAAGAGCGAATCTAGCAAAAACTAATAAGAGAAAATGAAACAGAAAAAGTGTTGTTGCTAGAACTCAAACCTACCCTCCGGAATTATTTGTTACTAAGAACATACTGACTGATGGCACTGACCACGTAATCGTTAGCGTCGAAATTGACGTCGCTCTTCTCGTCCGACATCGAACTTAATTCGCCGGTCATAGTGTCGCCGTTGACGGTGGACGGTGCATACATGTCGGCAGTCTGTGATTTATTAATACCTGTGCAGAGAGACAATGCACGATGAAAATGTGAACGACCGGGACGGGCTGCGAATAAGACCACGCTATGCACACACAGAGGATAAACCTAATATTTTTTTTTTTTTGACCAAAAGAAAGTTCGCAAATTTTTTTAGAATAATATATTTTAATAATAACAATTAGTTTTGACTGTGTGAAGCGGTTAAATTTTAATTTTTATTCCGACATTCTAAAATTAAATTGAACGAAAGAAAGGCAGCAGCGAATTCATCTTCTGTGTGAACGTAACCAGTGGACGCTGAACTGACTGATCTTTGAAAAATTGAAATACGCGTGCGCGTACTTAAATTATTATTGGTCGTAAACTTACGAGATTTATTTCGCTTTCGTATAATGTACCACAACATGATGAAGACATTAACGATAAAAATGATGACGGACGTCGCCGCTAACGTATAGATATAATTCATCGGAAAGTCGCTCTTCTCCGAGAGGACGTCCGGCAGGTTTTCCTCTTTAACCGGGCCTAGGGAGATAAAGGAAAGAAAGGACACGTGATAAATATTATATTTACCAGCACGCTGGACCTTCTTTTTCGACTTTATTGTAGCAAAGATTATGGTCGCGGCAATGACTAGGCAAGCAGAGGCGGAAACAGTGATGATAATGACGATGATGTAGGAGGAACTATTCTCGCTTGATGTCAACTCGGTTGGTGGCGCCTCGCCTGTAACCCAAGCCAATGCCCCATCACCGATCTATGTTACCGTCATGCAATGAAGGTCTACATTTTTGTTAGTTACGCGTTGTTCAATCTTGCGGTTGTTCTTTGATTATTGCATATGAAAAAAAATTAATAAATTGGAACAATTATATATTTGTTATTATATTAATCGCCGCGATATTATATAATCGCTTGTAATTCGCCCGGGTTCGGACCCTTACAAGCGCAGCATCGAGTGCGAAAACCATTTGTCAGAAAAAAAAAATTTCCAAGCTATACAAGCGATATAAATTGTCAGAATAGAGATCATGCTGTCGCGTCACTTACATGTGGTTGTGTGTTTTATGATACTTATGATACTTGTAAATGCTACTTCTACGTATGTATATATAAATGCTTGAGGTGATCTGTATCGCAGAACTAGTCTACGGGCGTAAATATCATGCGAATGTTCACTACTAAACGTATGAAACATTGAACACGATTGAACGTAATTACTGAGTATGATTAATTATGTGGATGTGGGGCAATCGCATTTAATTATGTCCCCCGATGATCTGCATAATGATTTAGCAAGCTGTTATTTTCCACCGTGTAGCGTGAATAACAATTGTATCGGTCTGAACGTAAATATTTTACTTGTTAGAAGAAAAATCAACTAACAACTCTATAATTCCACGTTGGAAGTTTATAAGCGCTTTCTGCTTCGCGCTTCGTTCAAATACGTTTTTGTTATGTTATAGAGTTTGCGTACGGAGTTATCTAAGCTGAAAATTACCACGAAATACCACACAGAGCAGTCGACGCTATCATTTCGCGCTACGTTTCCCGTTAATCCTCATCATTTCGCGACGATGTTAGGCTAATTTCTGATGATAAAGTTACTTAGCTCGCGCAAGCACGAGAAAGCGGATAAGGGAAAACGTTTTTCTAAAGGCGTTTTTTTTTATCTGACGACTTACGGAGCGTCTGGACCTTGACGAGGTCCGGCAAGAAGCCGCTTTCGCCCTTCTCGTTGATAGCCTTCACGCTGAACACGTAATAAGTTCCGAGCGACAGGCCGGATATAGTGGCTTTATATTCGCCCGGCGAGACGTCCACGTAGTGATAGCGATCCTCGTAATCCAGCGCCTGTCGCCATCGTATTTGATGGGACGTTGGCAGCCCGCCGTCGAAACCGCGTTTCCAAATCAGCGTAACCGAATCGTGCGTGACATTGTAGATCTCGAGGTCGCCGGGTTTGTCCGGTGGCGACGTGACGTTCAAATATATATCATCCGAAGACTGTCCCATTTTATTCTGGGCACGGCACTCGTACTTTCCATAGTCCTGCGCTCTCACGTGATAGATGGTCAGTGTCGTTTCCGAGGAAAGCTCGGACAGCTGGAGGAAAAACGAGAGAAAGCGAACACCGTCATTTTTATTATTCGAGAGAGACACTCGAATAAATATTATCAGAATGGCAGAAAGATCGTTGTGATGGTATATATAGATGCATCTCTCTCGCGAGCGCGTAATCTTTCTCTCTCTCTCTCTCTCACACACACAGCGAAACTTTAATTAGATGTTATCCTTTTTCTTGAATTCTTCCGACGACGAGCATATCAAAAAACTTATACACCCGACGTGAAAATTCTATTATTAAAACGAAAATTCACTTCAATTTGAGCGAGGAATAAAGATTTACAGTGCGCGTCGGCACAATGCCGGGAGGCTTCGGTCAAACGACGATTCTAAAGGAGATGTACCGGTAAAGAAAGTCGTTATCTCTGAGAGATAAGTACGTCTTATATAAAGTGACTTACATCGCTGTGAGTGATACTGTATTTATTCTCGGTTGCGTTCGGCAATAAAGTTTTTCCATTGAAGATCCAGGTAAAACGCGGCAACGGAGATCCCCGAGCTTTGCAGAACAATTGGACGTTTATTCCTTTGTTCGCCGCTGCCTTTCGCGTCAGCGGGGTGTTCGTCATTTCTGGTTTAACTGCGCATAAAAAAGTACCAGTAAATTCTTTATTACCCGCGCGCGCTCTTCGATACGTCGCGCGTGAATCTCGTGCATATAGAATAATATTTTACGATGTGTTCCTCCTCTTGCGTGAATTTCGCACGATTTCTGTATGTGACACGTATACATACATGCGTTTTGTGCAACAGTGATCTCTTTTATTTAACCGGAGCGAGCGCAACGGGCGAAGTGTTTGCGACAATTTATTGTTACACTATCGGCACAACAACAACTCTCAGAATGATAATTAACCAATTATTCGTCAAACATAATAATTACAATATAGATAATGACGCCGGTGTTGTTAAATTATTATCATCAGTATAATTGCATTAACACCTTTCGCTAACTTATCATTGATGATTGTTTTCTATTTGGAACTAAATTAATACATCAATAATCTGCAGTAACATTTGATGTAAACACAAACCGCGGCTGTTTACCTCGAACTCAGTTGCGCGCTAAATGTTATACCGTAAATGTTACACTCTGTTTTTTGCTTCGAGTTTTTCGTTTTTTTCTTTGTTTCTTTTTTTGTTTTGTTTTTTTTTTATCTGAAAATATACTACCTAAATAAAATAACTACTAATTTGCGTGGCAATTAAACCGGTCGCATCGACCCAGACGATCTATGACAATTAAAATCCGATGTACGGCGATTAAATTACCGTGTGATGTGAGATAATTAAATCCCACCGATTTCGATCGGATTTTCTTTTGCTCGTTCAAGCGCATCGCTTGTTCTCTGGCAATATTTTATTGAAAAATCGTGATAAAATATCTCTCCATTCTACGTACAGTTCGTGATAAACAGAATAGGATCCGACGTTGCGTTGCCGATGCCGTTATTGACTTTGCATCGATATTCGCCGACGTCTTCCTGACTGGGATGCTCTATATGAAGATACGAAGTCCGATTAACAAAGGACGTCGAGTAACGTCCCGGTAGTTCGGGGTTCGATCCTACTTTCTGCCACGTGACGTACTCGTCGCTGATTGGACTACCGTCAACCTCGCAGAACAACATCGCCTCGACTCCCGGCGGATAAACTATCCCCGACGAGGAAGTGCGTTTGATTTTAGCAGGATCTGTAGGATATATATATATTTTGAAAATAAAATGACAAACGAGATAAAAATAATGATTTACATTTTTTTTTGCGATTTCGGATTAAAGCAACAATATATATACATATATATAAATTTTGTGTATTAAAAAACATTTCGCTTGTGTTTTGAGAGACAATTAATTTTTAAATTAAATTAATTATAAACAGATAGAAAATCGAATTACAAGATCGATAATATGTTTTCCGATGCATTAAAATACTGTTATTTTTTATATTTTTTAAATATGATTCGAAATTTTAATCACAGTGACGAGTAGCGGATTTATCGCATAGTGTTAAAATTTTTCTAGAAAATGATATTATTTTTACTTACACTGCACGGTTAAATTTAACTGGTAAAAAGTGGTTCCTTCTTTGTTCAGCGCTTCGCATATGTACGTGCCAGCGTCGTGGCGATCTAATCTTGTGATATTTAGCGTAGGACCGTGTGCGGTTATTTTCTTACCGCTGGTACCTAGCGGTAGACCATCCCTCGTCCACGTGTACTCTGTCGCATTTGGATTGCCCCTTGCCGATACGGAAATCACAAAAGGCTCTCCTTCCAGACCGATTAATTCGTTCGGATCTAACGGCGAGAATATTGGCTTGTCTACAGAAATAAAGAAAAATAAATTTAAATCGCATTGTGAATTGTCAGATATTATATTTTTTCAGTCATAGATTTAATTAAACAATTATATATATATATATATATTAAAAGTAACAATTTAAAATCGATGTACATTTTCAAAGTATTGAAAATATTTTTTTTCAACTTATTTAAAGATGTATTGTGTGTTTTTGCTCACACACACACAATTTTTGTTGTTGAATTTTTTGCATTAAAATAAGCAGCGTTTTCCCTTCGATAATCTCTACGGTTTTTGCAAACTCGTCCGATTCGCATAATAACGCTATCACTCCGCCCGTATAACGACGCGAGATATATATTTTCGCGGGCAAACACACCGGGAAATTAACGCGAACGTGATCCGTATTCAGAGATATCGCACAGCGCATTCGCGCATTCTACAGAAATTTCCGGGTTGAACGCTCTTGTGACGGGAAATGCGATCGTGCGTGTAAGCGCGTGCCGCGTTTCGCACAGATATATACACAGATTATACACCGATCAGAAGCAAAATCTGCTTATATATATACGTATATATAGTTTGTTCACTCACACAGCACGTCCAGTGTCGTGGCGTCATGAATCGCTCTTCCCAATTCCGTATTCTTGGCCTCGCAGGTGTACACCTCGCCATTCATCTCCTCGGTTAAATCCAGCGTGAGCTCGACGAACGAGAGGTAGCCGCCGTGTAATCCGGCCTTAGTGCCGTTCCGAGTGTCCGGCACCGGTATCCCGTTCTTCCACCACGACATCTCGGCGGCTGGATTGCTGCTGCTCGACTCGCACATTATACGTCCTTCCTGGCCGGCGTGAAAGTCATGCGGATCGCGAGTAATATACACCCTTTCGGGCGGGACTGGAAAAAAAAACAAAAAAAAACGACCGGACGGTCAGCCGTTAAAATATCACCGCGCTTTGCTTTCGGAGGAAAAAAACTCGTGATTTCAAGAAAGAAAAAGAGCAATCGGCGCCAGAGTTTGATCATTCCCCGGATGCGCCCGGGAATTTTTATCTCGGAAATCTGAATTCTCTCTCTCTCTCTCTCTCTCGTTTCGATTTAAAAGAAGAACGTTTTTTGTGATCAAATGTATTTATAATGTAATATATGACTTTTAAAAATATGTACATATAAGATATATGTATGTATATATATATATATATGTATTTCGCGATAGATGAGATAAGAGAGAGAAATATATGGCTGGGATCTATCTTACAGTAGACTTTTAGCACGAGAATTTTGAGCAGAGGAATCTCGGTGGCGGAGTTCATAGCCTCGCATCGCACATGAGCGTTGTTATCGGACGCGTTGACAAGTATCGTCAGATCGCTGGAGACGCTCTGATCGCGCTGTCTGGTCGTACCGGGTATCTGCGATTCAAAAAAAAAAAGAAATTCAACGTTACATCACAGTCTACGTGTGTGTGTGTGTGTGTGTGTGTGTGGGTCGTCTCGATCTTGAAATATATACAGGGTGTCCGACAATTACTTTAACATCTCTCGTAGACAGATAGAAGGAGTGAAACTGAGTCGAAAAGTCCTGAACCATTTTTTTTCTATTACCAGAGAGAAATCTGAGAGCGGCCATCCTATTGTAATTTTTTACGACGGTTTTAGCCGTATTTCCACAAAAGTGGAACTCAAAGGCCGTTCTACATTAAACGCAAGTAGCAGATCTCGTGGAATTGACCAATTGCAGAGTCAAATCAGCCAATCGACCAACGTGATTGATCAGTTCCGCGAGACCTGCGACTTGCGTTTAATGTAGAACGGTCTTTGAGTTCCACTTTTGTGGAAATACGGCTAAAACCAGCGGCTGAAACCGTCGTAAAAAGAAACTACAATGGCATGGCCGCTCTCAGGCTTCTCTCTGCTATTACATATAATAAAGAAGTAATTATTGAATAAATCAAGCCAATCAGCGCTGACCTTTAGCCGAACGCACGTCAGTGAACCACACGTCTGGTGTGCGTGAGCGCTCCGCTCCGGCTCACTGACGTGAGCCCGGCTAAAGGTCGGCGCTGATTGGCTTGATTTATTCAATAATTACTCCTTTATTATATGTAATGGAAAAAAATGATTCAGGACTTTTCGACTCAGTTTTACTACTTCTAACTGTCTACGAGAGATGTTAAAGTAATTGTCGGACACCCTGTATATAAAAAAAAAATTCACATTTATATTAGATCTTCGAATTATTTCAAATTGCATGCTTCGCGACTTTTGCATCAATTCTGTGTGGCACACATTTCTGAAATTAAGTAATTAACCATTAACGAGAATCAACTTTACTTTCATTGTGTTATCTCGAAAACTTTCTCGAACTTTGGAAAATGCAGAAACGTGCGCTTTCACGTTCGTTGAGAACCTTGCCTCTTGAGTTTGTTTAATCTACCGTTATATCGGATCTATTATATGGTAAATCGTGTCGCTCCATTTCACATACCTTGCGATCGTTCTTGTACCATGTTAACGTGGGCGGTGGATTACCCGTCGTGGCGATACACGAGAGCCTCAGCACCGTACCGGCGACTATCGTCGAGCCTTCTTCGTAACCAGTAACAATTAATCTCGAAGGTGGGACTACAAAAGTAAAATCAGAAAAATTAAATTTATTCTTTTATTCATTCATCCATCCCCGAGTCGAAATTTAGCGTCTACATTGAACCTCAATTTTTGAAAAAATGAAATTTCGGACGTATAGCAGCGTCAAAGTAGGATCTACTTTCTCTCTTACTCCTACAGAAAAAAAGAAAAATTGAGGTTCAACGTAGACGCTAAATTTCGACTCGGGTATACTTTATCATTTTATGTTTTCTATGCATGAATTTCTGTGCATGTTTGATTAAACACACATTTATTTTGAAATCAGAATAAAATTAATAATCAAGACAAAATTTATTGTTTATATGTGATAAAAGAAATTTTTTTGCTGGAGAATTATATAACAAGGTAACAAGACACACGAAGGGCTTTGTCACATCTGTTTACAGTGTTATCGTGAATCATTTCTCTCCCAATACGTTCGTTATACACTTCGTTATCAATTCTTGTTAATTAATCATTCGATAAAGAATTTATTACAATTTGTTAAGGATTATTTGTTGTTCACTCGAACCTGTTACATCGCACCGACAACACGGGTGTAGCATTCGTTATGGTATATCTCGGATCTGGCGGGTCGTATTATTGATTGCAAGCTAACTAATTGTTTAGTACATATATATATTCCAGATAGCGAATAATTTTAATGCATGTAATTACAAGCTGAAAACGTGGAGTTGATTATTCAGGGATTATTTATTTACGACGGAAATTAATGTCGGTCGATTACGGTTGTGTTATTGCGAGTGTATCACGCGCGCCAGTATGACGCAATGTCGAATATGTTAAATGAATTCTGGCCATTGGGTTTCGCGTGCGGCGGCGTGTGTATTGCGTATGCACGTTTTGGGACTTGAATAACGGCGGCTCGGTCGATTAATTTGTCATCGCGCGTTTGCGAAGATGTCAGCGGCAATGGCGTCGTTATACCCTAATTTCCTATACAAATGCGTTACAAATTTTGATCGTCGAAGAAGCGAAACAGTGTGTTTTAACTTTTACCGACTTTATCACATATTAAAGAAAAAAATACGAACGTAATAGTTTCTTTTTTTATCGATATTCTAGTCTATTGTACTTTTAACATATAAACAAAGCAAAATAATATATATTAATAATATATAATATATATTAATAATAATAATATATTAATAATATATATGTATATATATTAATTATATATACATATATATTATTAATATATTATTATTATTAATATATATTATATATTATTAATATATATTAATAATATATAATATATATTAATAATAATAATATATTAATAATATATATGTATATATATTAATTATATATATATACATATGTATGTATATAATAATATAATATATATATGTATTCTTTTTTTATACATTATTTTTTATATTTCTGATTTATAAGCAACGCAAACCGCACGTTTCACGTGCTTTTGCATAAAAAATATACATTTTTTGTTCACTTATTTTTCAACGGGAATAATTATAAAATAGTTAATTGCTTCTATAAAGAGTAAACTCAAATGACACAGAAGGCCAATTAAAAAAGTTTACTTTTCACTTTCGGATTTTTAGTTAATTTTATTTCGACTCTGTCTCTTTCAACGGTTTTATTCTGGCGCTTTATTCGTTAAGAAATCTAATATCGTTCAATTGGCAATTGAAAAGTCTTTTCGGGAAATATCTCACGGCGCGGGTTTCTGGGACACGCGGCGCCCATGAAACTCTTTGACGGGGCGAAAATTAGATTTTCGTCGCGGGCGTAGAGAACGTAGAGTCTCGTTACAACTACACTTCACTTCTACCTGGTGAAATTCTACGACAGAGAGAAAAGAGAGAAACGCTCACATATTACGGTGATGGTGTGCGTGCCGACCACGTTCTCCGTGAGCTTCGCGTTCGAAGCGTGGCATATGACAACGATGCTGCGACTGTTGCGATTAATGTTGAACGTCACGTTCGAGCTGGTGATCCAGCCGCCGTTTGGCGCTAATTCCGTCTTCGAGGAGTCGCTGTCAACATTATGACCGTCCACTGTCCACTTGATGTCCGCGGGCGGATTCGAGTTCTCAGTTGTGCAGGTAATGAGCACCTGTTCATCCGCCTTCGCCTCTGTCGGTCCGGTGATGGTGACTCCGGATGGTGCAACTGTTGATTTGTTGAAAGCCAAATGAGCCACCACTCAAGCGCGTAGCGCGCTTTGATATTTTATTCCGCGAGCAAGCGTAAAAACGAAAAGTTTATACTTTTCGGAGAAACTGCTAATGTTGTAAAATTGTTGGTCGTAAAAAAAAAAAACAAAAAAAAACTACACGCGGAATAAAGTTCACTGACGGATTGTCAATAACTTGCAAAAAACGTCGTTGCCCCCCCGACAACACAAGCGTAACCTTTTATCCTTTAAGTGCGCGGTTAAAACGGCGGTCTCACTCTCCTGGTATTTTGTGAGCTTTAGCCATACATCATACACGGGCATAAAGTTCGCAAAATTTCAATTTGGCCAACGTGAATGCAGCCGCGGCGAAAATAGAGAAGCGGAATTATTTATGCGGCTGTGTTCCGTCGGCAAGACATCGTCCATATGCTGTGCAACAACCTTGGTTGCGCAATACTATAATATGCTTCGCGCTATGCAAAGTAACGGTAAGTGCCACAGACACGCTCCTAGACACGGTATATTAATAATCTAAACGCTTTAAATACATTTTACACACAAGAGTCGTCGTAAAAACAAGAGTGTGCGCATTTTCATCACGAAATAATCGACAAAAAAAACGAAACACGGAATGAAAATCTATTTTCTCTCACAGAGACAAAAAACATTCTGTATATTTTCGTATTCTTAATTAATCTATATTTTTCAATATATATATATTATATATTG